TGGTGGCTTCGGCAAAGGGGCTTGCGGTGTATCAACAGTCAGTGTCGCCATGGGGTCTCTTCTTGTTTCTGTAGAATCACAGAATCATTAAGGTTGGAAAAGACCTCTAAGATCATCAAGTCCAACCATCAACCCAACACCACCATGCCTGCTAAACCATGTATACACATTTTTTGAACCCCTACAGGTACGGTGACTCCACCACTTCCCTGGGCAGCCTGTTCCAATCTCTCCTTCAGTAAGGAAATTTTTCCTTATATCGAATCTGAACCTCCGCTGATGCAACTTGAGGCCATTAAAGATAAACACTCAAGCTGGATGTGGTGCATAGGGCATGGTGAACATGGCAGGGGATGGAGAGGGTCTCTGGGAACAGGGGTGGGCTCCAGGCCTCTGCACTGCCCGGACCTGCAGGAACACGTCAGTGATGGACAATTACTGTCCTTTCCAATATTGCCATCTAGAGGACCCCGCAAGGACAAGAACTCCTTGTGCAGGCCATGATGAGATAAAGAAGATTCAAAAGTTTGGTTTTTCTATTTTGCCTCACGTAAGGGCTTCTCCAGCATGCCACTGAGATGAAGAGCCGAGCGCACAGGACTGTCCGTGCCTTGGGCATGAGAATACAGGATTGCTCCAAAAACAGCCCTGTGAGTTTTTGAGGCCGTAGATACCCGGCGTTGGCCCACTTCCCAGCGCTTTACTGCGCCCCACGTGAACACGGCCAGGCGGTACAACAGCTTAACTGACAGCTGTCCCTATTCTGCTCAAACTGAACTGAGCTGATAAAACAGGGACTATTCAGCATGTGGCGGCTCTACGCACCTACCTGCAGTGCAAGTCCTCCTCCCCTGACCGTGCTGGGATCTGCCTCGTCCCTTCTTCCAGCGCCTCTCAACAGCACCTCTCCAAAACCTCTCTGCATGGCTGAAGCGACATGCCTGACAGCGAGCCCGTCCCAGCCGGGGGGGTGGATGCACGCCCGCCTGTCCCAGCTACGTTTTGGGCAATGGAGACGGCGCTCAGCAATGGGGAGCCCAAGGGCCCAAGTCATACCTTATATCAATAAAACAATTCATTTGTAAGTGGTGTGCTGTGCTTCTTTTGAGGGTTTGCAAGGGTAAAGAGCTGCCAAAAGGCGTTTGTTCAACTGCTGAACTCTCTCCTTGTTTGTTTTAGTTAAGTGCCCGGGTACGACCCAAGCCCGGCTGGGCGGTGTGCGTGCAGCAGGATTAGCGGTGTTTATTCTGATTGTCAGGATTTTGAGGTGTGAGAGCGCGCGGTGGAACTGGCATCATTTCACAGTAAGAAAATAAACGCCGTTGTCTCCCGTCCCGCTCCTGTGACTTCCAGTAGCACAGGCCACCCACTTGCGGCCGGATGCTGGACAAGCCCTCCTCGCTTGGCGGCTCATGGCACTTCTGCGAGCTGCAGCCAAGGCTTTGGCAAAGCCCAGCACAAGAGCTCAGGACTCGCTGCCCCATGCGAGGACTGCGGTCCTTTGGAACTGACGTCCCCTCGGCTGGCCGCTGCTATGGACGGGAGGGAAGTGCGTTTAACTAGGTGTTAGGGGCTATCCTCCTGCAGCCATACAGAGCTACGAAGAACGTATGTTAATGCCATTCAAAAGACGAAGGTTGTCCTTTGAGAATCAAAGCCCTCCAAACAAGATTCCTGGAGTTTCTGAGGTGCCCTCTGTACCGAAGGATTGCAAAGCGTTTGAACAACCTCTTCAGCTGCTCCGCCAGCGCACAGCACCAAAAAAACAGTATGGACGGGAGACGGAGGGCAGAGTCACCTGCCATGAGCCCAACTGCAAACTCAGCAAAAACACAGGACAGAAAAGCCCACGAAAGCTCCTCAATTTTGCAAGCACCCCGTCGCGACGCTCTCCCACAGGTCCCCCCACCGCCCCAGGGCACATGCCAGTGCAGCACTACCCCGGCTGCGTTCTGCTGCCCGTGGAAGAGTCCCTTCAGCAGCCATCAGCGCCTCTCCGCTCCCCGTGCCTTACCCGCTGGCCACAGGCCACAACAAACTCGTCCGAGAAGGTCAAGCGGCACGTCGTCACTTTGCTGCAGATTTATTTCCGTGTGAATTAACGAAATGGTACACACAAGTCCAGAGAAAAAAAAAAAAAAATCTTTTATAGGCCCATAATCCTTCTTTCACAGTACAACGCAACAGTAAAGGATTTAGTCAGTGTAAACAGAAGGTCCGACAGTGATCATCAGCTATCACAGATCAGCTGCACAAACACCAGAACTACGGAGTTAATGCCATTACCACACAAATCGACAGTATTAGTACAAATCATAACTTCGCCTACAATGCTTTTTCATGTGCAAAAAACCATGAAAATTCAATTTACAGAAGAAGGGCACCTCCTCTAAATCTCTGCGGGAGCTATAAACTGCCTCCTCGGGACTGTCTTATCTATTTGGCAAAAGGTCTCGGGGACGGATTCTCCAAGGTACCCTCAACTTCAGCAGCAGCACGGAAGCCATCAGGGCTCTGCGCTGAAAACCAGGCACTCCCGTATTCTCTGCAGCAGCAGGACAAAGAGCATAATCAGCTGAGGATGAATCCGAGTCATTTATTAAACCACTCCCGAGTTTCAGCTTAGATTCATTCATTCACCAAGACTATTCAAAACAGTCCTGGTTGTATTATGCATGGATCGTAAGGGTTCACAGGTAACCCATGAAATCATCATTTTTTAACTTTTTTTTTTTTGCTTTAACATACTAACTGAACTGTCACCGGCGTCAAAAGCTGAGGCTTACGGTCATGTGCTGACTTAAAGAGAGTGGATAAATTATTGAAGCTGGAGGGTCAGAGAAAGAGAGGAATGCTACCAAGGCTATGGTGAAACGTTACGCTGCGGCCATCTCGCAGCGCTCGGCTGCAAACTCACCCCTCGGCTGGGGATCCCCTGGGAGGGAGCCCTGGGCTGCCCGTCTGCTGCGCCGGGGCTCGGGGCCGGCCGACGGGACCACCGGCTTCCCCGGGGGACCGTTCTGCGCCTCCAGCTGCACCAACGCCAGCTTTGTAAATTGAATCCATAGTCAGGTCATACAGGAAAAAACACGAGGTAGTTATTTATCATACCTCTTCAAAAAGGCAAAACAAACACAAAACAGGATGTAGAAGTGATGCAGTAAACCTAAAGTCAACGGGTACCTACTTCTTTTTTTTTTTTTCCTTTTTTGTTTTTTTTAAACCCATGAAGTTAAGTTACAGACATCATATAAAATGCACACTTTATGGAATTCCTGCATAGCAGGAAACAAAGAGGCTAGCGCTAACCCAACAGCTACATTAACAGTGAGACTGCCATTGACTGGTGCCAGGAAGATGCCCTATCTAAATACAGAGCGTTACCCCCCTTCTAGAGGAGTCCTGTGGCAACACTTATACATTTTGTTCAGAAGGAAAAAGAAAGCATTTTCTTGGGGATAAACTGCCAAAATAATTCGTTTCACATCCATAAATTTAAGGCAATGTTACTTAGACCTGAGAAAATGAAAAAAAAAAAAAAAAAAGTTTAAATTTCTTTTCTCAACTATACATATACATACTCAAAATTTTAGTATTTCCTGTCTCCTCTAACTCTCAGGTGGTGCTGGGGAAAACAGCTGTGGGGAAACTGCTCTGGGGTCTCAGGGTCGGACCCTGAGAGATGCCGAGCTTGTTCCAAGGAAAGCTAATGGGAGCTGTGAGTGCTCAGACTCACCCGGCTCTTTTTCATATATTCTCTTTTTAAAAACACCTTTGCTTAAGCCCTCTGGAGAGGGTTACCTCCAGAATGGGCTTTTAGTGCACCGGCAACCCTGAAAAGTTTTTATAGCAAAACTGCAGCTAAAACAGACAATAAAATTACATACAGAAAATTTCTGCTTTCCCCCTTTTCAGGAGAAGGAGGATGGCAGGGTTAACAATTTCACTGCACCTTTGGCCATTCCCATAATGACAGAGTAAATCCTTTAACACTAATGTGAAATCGCAAATTGTTCTGTGCTCTTCCTTGGAAAATAAAAATTGAAAAAAAAAAAAATCAACTCGCAAACCTTTCTCATTAAACGGTAAGAGACGTGAGAGAGATGGGGTGGAGATTACAGACACACAGCATGCTAAGGAGTCATTAAACAAAGTGCAATGATTTTTGACTATACAGGAGGATGGACGGACGGACAACTCTCCTCTGGAGAGGTCCGGAGGTACCGTGTCAATCTGTAGCTGTAAAGTTGGTGTTCGAGGCTGACCGGGCTCGCGGCCCCGCGCGCAGCCGCGGTACCTCTGCGCGTCTTGGCTACGTCTGTGACTGCAGGAGAAGAGATTCGCTGGCACAAAGACACGGTCGCTTCCCAAACATGAAATTTAGTTGCCAGTTGAGGACTTGACGGCTGATCCACAACTGAAAGAAGCACTCAGCCCTAGAATCTGTGCGCGCCTGGTGTAGCTCCTGTGGGATCACCTTCTTCTCCTAAACATGAGCACAGACACAACCCAGCCCTCCCTCCTGCTCCCACCGGGCAGCCAGGCACCCGCAGCCCCTGCTCTCAGCTTTGGCCGGTGCCTGCCGCTAGCCCACTAAAGCAGGGCTTGGGCAGAGGGTCACTGAAAAGCACAAAGTCTCCAGGTCCCAGCTCAGGTTCCCACAAAGCCAGCATCCTTCTCACCGGCCGCTGCCCGGCCAGAGGGTCTGTGGGCAGATTTTTTTCACCGATATTTCAAATGTGACTAATCCAAAGATCAGAGACAAAAAAAAAAAATTAAAACAAAAAAATCAACCCTCATCTGAATAGGAAGTGATTTCCACTGCTCGCCAGCACCTCGCTACCCTCCTCGCCTATGCTCAGAGGATGAACAGGGAGTCAGCTCCTTTACTCACCCTGCTGGGAACTAAACCCTTCATCAAACCACACATTAAAGAAGCTCACTGTGTGCAAAAGACTCTTACGCTAAAACAGTTCCACCCTACACAGTGCAGTCAACACAGTTTTTAACTTAAATTTGCAGCTTGTTCTTTACAAGTGCTTGGCAGAGAATATTTATATTCTTCTGACACCATATAAATAATATTTATACAGCTTAGACATTTTGAGACATGCATTAGACTTTAGGTAGTACATATTCTTGATCATATATGCAAATATTACTGTCAATTAAACCGAACAACCTTATGCCGGACCATGTCTTGCGTTATCCAGGACGTTTGACGGTGGCTCTGAATCGTCCATGGGAAGGACCAGGCGCGTTCCGCGGATTACGAGTTCATGGTCCCCAAAAGCCAGCTCCCGATCGAGCGCGTCTTCAGAGCTGTTGCCCACGAACCGCCGCGACGTGCCGCTGGACGCGACACTGTCGGTGTTGACGGTGGAATCCCCGTAGGTCAGGCTGATGTCCCCGTCGTTCAAAATGAGGTCAGAGTCATCGTCCTTCAGCTGCTCTTGATTCTGGTGAGAAACAGGAGGAAAATGGTGTTTAAGTCTTCCTGAATAGCTGAGTTTGAAATCAGACGATGGCGGTGAACAAGCAGATAGACGCCCCAAATCACAGACTGCCCTGCACCATGACCATAACCTGATGTGCCACACACACATCTCCGAGCCCAGGAGACTCGCACAAGACACCAACGTCTCTGCAGACTGCCTACAAGGGCGCTCTCGGCTCCTCTTTCTGATGCCGTAGCCAGATCCGTGGGGAATGCAGTTTTGAGTGGCTTTAACTGGACTAAAATACCCACGACCACAGGAATCGCATCGCCAACCCATCAGAGCCATCTGTTTTCTGCAGGTAACTTGATGCTGATACTTTATGGCCAGGGCAAGGAAACTCCTGCCATGGAGAGCTGCTGCTGCAAGGGGCTCCCAGCACGGCAATGCCCCGAGAGCCGCGGCCCTGCCAGAGCCGTGCCGGCACCAGCCACCCGCAGAGCCATGGGAGGCCGAACCTGACCAGCAAACCCAGCTCCTCAAAGAGCACGCGTCCACGCAGGCTCTGCAGCAGCTGTGGAGGAAGAGGTCGCTGCCTATGGGCTCTCCAAAGCTGCCTGTCATCTCCCCGCCTGTCTGGGCTGCTCAAACAAGCACTTCACCATTTCAGGAGAAAATCAGCCCCAGTTCAGACCCTGGAAACCTTTTCGATTGTGAGTGATGCAGCTGAAGGGGCTGCAGGAATAGGTCAGCTGCAAGCCTGGAAGAAAGCAGGGGATAGGGAAATCATGTGTCCTCCCAGCTGGGCCTGGGGAAGGACAGCTGTGACAGCTTCATGGAGCTTGTCACTGAGGAACCACCATGACCACACCACAAATGCCTTCATGGCCAGTCAACTGGAAAAGCAAAATGCTCACGGGAATTAGCCCACCCATCTGTCCCAGGATCTGACCTCCCCCCAGGCTCCCAGCTCAAAGCTGCAGAGCAGCATCCAAAAGCTACGCAGAAACACAAACACGCCAAACTCCACCGACACTGTGACAGAAAGGACACCGATGGACTCACTTCATATGCCTGTGGACTCGTCAGGCACCGGGCAATAGGCCCACAGCACCCCGGGAGCGTGGTCGTCAGAGGAGGACCGCTGTGCGTCAGCAGAGGTTTCAGATAGCTACAGAAAGTTGGTTAAGGAAGAAAGAGGAATAGGGCCATGTCGGTGAGTTGAGGGGTGGGATGCAGAGGCAGCAGCGAGGGATTCAATGTCTTGAGGAAACGACAGGAAGGCAAGAAACACAAGTCCCTGGAAGCACAAAAATTACAGGGATGAGCAACGTGAATGCAATCAAACACAGCAGGACGTAGGTGGATCAGGACACAGCCCTGGTAAGAAAAGATTTAGCAGCATCACTTGTCCCATCACCCTGTGCCTCTCAGCCTGGCTAATCGCTCCTCCACCAATTCATGGAAAAGCATTGGCAAGAGAGGAGAGGCACGGGTCTAGCAAGAGGACTACAAATGAGCAGACCCCCTGCCCTTGCTGCCCACCTGCCACAGGGATCGAGGACTCCCTGGGCGTCCAGCCTTGGAGAGCCCAGCTTTGAACTGAGCTACTGCTGCATTCCCAGTTAACAGCGGGTGGAAAAGGCCATTTCTTGCAGCCACAGGCACAAGGAGGTGCAAATCAAAAACCAGCAGCACGACGGGAAAGCAAACGCTGGCTCCTCTGCTAAGCAGGGAGTGAGTCACGCTCCAGGTCAATGGTGTTGCTCGGGCAGACGGGATGTGGCACGGCGCGTGCCGACCACCATTCAAGGATACTTGTGATCAAAGTTGTACCACATGCGGAAGAGCCAGGCGCTTTCTGCCTTCGTACTCCTCCTCTCGCTCTCCGGGACACCCTGCGGGAGAGCAAAACATGAGACAGCGGCAGGGCAACGTGCCACGACCTAGATCGGGGCCAGGAGCCCCCACGGGGCACCGCGTTATTCCCAGGGGGACAGAAGAAGACACACAGCTTCCCACTGCCCCTTCAGAAGAAACCTTTGGGTTGCAGCGAGCGTAAGGACATCCACACCACGACAGGCTGAAGGTGCATCCGGCACCTCGCTCTGCGTTTCGCAGCGTACAACAGCCTTCGGGAGGTGGTATCAAAGCACACAGTGACCATTTTTCTGCTGGAGCCTTCCAGTTTCTGGCCCCGAGGTTTAAAGTGCCTCAGAGCCAGCGCCTGCATCCAGACATCATATTTAATAGTGACTGACAGGTCCAACCTCCATCAAACCTCGCCTGAGATTTTTGTATGCAAATAATCGCATGTTACAGGGACTCCTGGCTTCCTTTTAGTCGGAGAAAAAACACAAAACTGTTTGGAAGGGACTATGAATACAATTATGTATTTCACAGAAATTTGGCTTTCAGATTTACAGCTCTGGGCCCTTTAGCACTTGATGCTTTCTCTCCAGGAGGTGAACAGCCCAATAAATGGCTCTGAATAAAATGAACCTCCAAGGTGCAGAACCCACACTGAAATCAATCAGAGCCGCAGCCACAGCACGACCGGGCTGCAGACGCACGACCGAGGCAGCTTGTGGCTACCGGGCAGGAAAACTCCCAACACTCCAGCATTCCTCTCAGCGCGGTCGGTAGCTCCTGGGCTGCCACATAATGACCCAAAGGAAACTGGGGGCAACGGGGAGGCTGCAGGTACCCACAGGTAAAAGTGGGATGGAAGATGCCACAAAAAATGGGCCAGTAAAAACCATTTCTGTACTGCCCTGGATGCTGGGACGAGGCAGACGGCCTCCGTGTCATGCACTTTTTGATATTTATGTCAGACCCAACAAGGGAGAGACCGAACCTATCGCAGCAATGTGGACTGACTGAACAGTCCAGCGTTACTTCTCTACCCTTCTTTCAAGCGGAATAAAAGCAAGCCTGTTTATAACCACAGAGGGCACAGCAAAGCCGTGACTCCCGCTGACTGCAAACTTTCACCAGAGAAGCTAAAAACCCTCCCACGGGTGGAAGGCAGCGGAGCACAGACAGGCACTCACAGGGTCCCGATGTAACCCCTGTACTCACGAACACCGCACAAATTCCTCGACAGAGGCTGCCTGGCAGCGCCACACTCACCACGTTCTCCTGATCCGCATCCACACCGACTCTGCGGAGGAGAAAACAAGCACAGGGTTAGCAGAAGCAATGCCAGGCGGGTACGTGCTGTGATCCAGGAGAGAAGGACATGATCTTCCTCTTGTCTCTTAAAACCGAGCACATTAACTCAAGAGCAGGAGGAGGGAGAGGACCTGCTGTGCCAGGAGAGCCCCATGCACGCCGCACTCACCGGATATTCAGGCAGGACAGCATGGCCGTGGTGCCCCCGCCGAAAACCCACACCGTAAAGAAGACGATGAGGAGCGTC